CATACAATAATTACGCAATCAACACTGTTAATAAAAATCAAGATCTTGTTAGATTTAGTCAAATTTGAAAACTAACAATTCAAGCATGTAGTAGTACCGTGAAATACTTACGATGTTGGGCGTTGTTATGGACTATCTTTCACCGAAACCAAGTTTGCAAACTTTCTTTTACCTCTTTTTCTTTTGTTGGCCAACTTATTCTCCACATATGTTATCTAACATCATTGCATAATTGTTTCGTCACGATTAAATACAAGAATAAAATACAGCAAAAAATTACTGTCAATATGATGCAAAACACTTACAATCTTTTTGCGTCCTTAAGGTAAGGATCTTCTCTGTTGTCTCTTGGCCTTAAAGAATTGTAATGTCTCCACTCATCAAATTCAATGTCAAATACAAGAAGTGTCCAGTGGTAGGTTTTTTTTCCTTCTTGTTCCCATGGGAGTTCATGCAAAAGTGAAGGTATCTGTATCCACTCAAATCTTGCTCAAGAACTTCGTCAATTAAATGATTTCTCAAATCTCCATAACCCCATTTCACTAGTGACTGCATTTAATCATATAAGAGTGTTATGTCTCAAGTTATGTTGATGACATACTGTAGGAGTTGTCAATCTTTGGCAAACCAAATAGTAAAAATTAACTCTAAAATATAGTACACTAAACCACAGTAAAATTTTATCAATTCAAACTAAACACAAATTGATGGCTTACCTAACAAAGACTTGAGAAAAAGAATGACTTATTCTTTTCTGGCTTCTTTGCTTGTTGCTCAATCTGAAGCATTTCTACAAAGATGTCAATGACCTACAAAAACAAAAATCAATTAAATATATGTTAATAAAGTGAACTATTTTTTGTTATTGAAGTGAACACTAGTCATTGAAAATTGTATGGCCACTTACATTATTTGCCGTATCATCATCTCTCAGAATTGCATCCACGTTATGCAATGTAACATATACTCTATTTCCTGTGTCGAACCATATGATATGATTGCACTAGTCATAAGGTAAAAAAAATGTTGATTAACACGTTGCAATTTGATAACAGTAAAAATCTGTTGTTTGATAAAATTAAAAATGTTTTACTCTGTGGTTTCCAAATTGTAAATCTAGTTCAGTAGACACTTATCATTTTCATCAAGCAATTTGCATACTGCAGCCTTATCTGAAAACAAAACCCTTTCAACTGGCTTTGGTTGGCTTAGAGGCAAGTTGTCAACACAAAACACTTCATTTGATATCACTTCAATTGCTTGTTTTATGGTCTTTTTTTTTCTTTGCCTCTCTTGGCTTACATTCAAAATCAGACATCTCTTTTTTCTTCCTCGCCTTGATTTTGATTTTCTTGACCATGGATGTTTGCAATGGCTCTATGACTATAGGTGTTTCTTTCAATGTAGTTTGAATCCTAAAGTTTTGCTCTTGTTCTACTCCTTTAGCATGTGGCATTTCTTTAGAAGCAAAAGCTTTGGTAACCGCATGAACTGCATTTTCTTCAATCTGTTCAACCAACTATTTATTTTCAGATTCGAGTACTTCAAACTCCTTTCTCAGTTTCTCCATTTCTTTCTCTGTGTTGCTCATTTTTTCCATCATTTCTTTTGTTTTTGCCTCTTGATCCTCTTGTATTTTTTGCATTGTTTCCCTTGTTTTCTTCAGTTCTTCAACCAATGCCATATTCTCACTTTTTAGCCTATTGTTTTCTTTTTGAACTCGTTCTAATTTCCCAAGATCAATGAAGTCTTTCAAAGGTTGATCATTTCCTAAAGCTTCAGCTACATGATCTTCATCTTCTTTAGTCTCCAAATTTTCCTCCATGTCCAATGCATTTTCTTCCTCATCATTGCGAATGAGATCCATTTCTTCTCTGGAAATGAGCTTCAGTTCATCATGATTTACTTGCATTTGAAAAATAGAAAACGAAAAGAAGTCAGCAATGAAACAAACTTTAACCACCAAAGTAAAATTTTACTTTGTTTCAAAGTAAAAGTTTACTCTGATTGTAAGTAAATTTTTACTCTAATTTTAAGTAAACTTTTACTCTGTTCAAGAGTAAGTAAAATTTTACTCTAATTGTAAGCAAACTTTTGCTCTGATTTAAAGTAAACTTTTACTCTATTGAAAAGTAAGTAAAATTTTACTCTGATTATAAGTAAACTTTTACTCTAATTTTAAGTAAACTTTTACTCTGTTCAAGAGTAAGTAAAATTTACTTTGATTGTAAGTAAACTTTTACTCTGTTCAAGAGTAAGTAAAATTTTACTCTATTTCAAAGTAAAAGTTTACTTTTACTCTGATTGTAAGTAAACTTTTACTCCAATTTTAAGTAAGCTTTTACTCTGTTCAAGAGTAAGATTTTATTATATAAGTATAATTTTAAGCAAAGTGAACCAGCAAGGCTGAGTTTGGAAAGATGGTACCTCTTCGGGCTTTAGTGTTTGAAATGACCTCTTCATTAGCTTTTTCCTCAACGTTGATAAGTCCCATTGAAGGAACCTTGGACACAAATTTTTTTCTTGAGGTTGAATGAGGGTAGTATACTCGCATAACCAGTACTATAAAATAAAAAAGTGAAATTAGTTAATTCTCTAAAGATAGATTGCGTAATATTTCAAGTAGTTCAATTTACTTACCAAAAGAAGAAGTATACATCCAGTTACATTTTCAGGACTTCCTAATGAAGAATGGATTGAAGTAGTCAACGTGGATGCAACTGCAGCCGACTATGCATATGAATTCATAATTTCCAAATTTTCTACAAGGGCAACAAATGCCCATCCAATTGTTAGACTAGTTGTTGGTAATAACAAAGTTGTCACAACAAATAAAAACATTATTCGTGCAACGTCCTCAATATCAACTGTTGTTGTGCCTTCCAACGCATCTCCTAATGCCTCTCGCAAACCCTTTACGGATATTCTTGACATATTACGAAATCTTCTCTGCACAAAAAGTGATTCTTGTTTTTTCTCATATGAGATGTCTACTTTTTTCGTTCCCGATTTTATCCCAAAAATCAAAGTAACATCACTGTTCCGTATGTCACACGTTTTTCCCCCAAGCTTAAATCCCTTTGCATGAAAGTCATAAGATTTGATCGCATCCATGACATTATCATCAACTTTCTTGAACTTCTTTAACACCACATCTTCTTTCTTCCAAAAAGATTTAAACAACATCCCAAAAGGTGTTCTCTCGAGGGTAGTAATATGTCTTTCAGTGAACCTCGTGTCTCACATTAGGTTTATCAATGAAACAACATTTGACCTATATTGTTTCACATAGTTCTCCCTCTCCCGTACTGCATTTACAATATTCAACTTCGAAGGTTTTGTTGTTGAAGGTATTGGATTGCTTTATTACAGCCTTCATCATGAACTAGCATTGGATTAAACTTCTTTACTACTTTTGCTTTTTATTTTTTTAGGGACTTTCTTCTTTTGTATAGCCGTTGGTGGAACTTCAAAATCATCATCATCATCATCACCACATTTGCTTCTTGTAACAACCATTTTAAAACAGTAAAAAGTTTCCCTATATTAACAGTGTAACACTTTACTTTAAACAACAAAGTGAAAAAATAAATAAGCACTAAAGAAAATGTACAAACATTATAATGAAACAGTAAAGTTTTACTCTGTTTGGCTTAAAACTTTACTTTTATTGAAAGTAAAATTTTACTCTGATTGGAAGTAAAATTTTACTCTGAACAATATATCCTAGGAAATAAACAAAAAATACATACAAAATTTATAGAACCAAGAATCAAGAAAACCTCGTCTCAATTTTGACTATACGCAACACAGTTCTGAAATTAACATATATAATTCACATTAAAATCGAAAGCAGAGAAATGATGAAACTACAATCACATTCACATACATAAATAGATACATATATATATATATATATACATATATGTATACACATTTATGTAAGGAGCAAATACTAGAGTTAAAGTAAAATTTTACTCTGATTGGAAGTAAAATTTTATTTTGAAAAATTCATGAAGCAAGTAAAATTGAAAGTATTGAAATTGCAGGACCAAAATACTACAGAAATCAAAGCAACGAAATTGAAGCGAAACTGCATATACCATTTTGAAATACCTAAATTACTTTTCAAAATTTTTAAACCTTAATATTCTCACATGATTTAGTAGTTTAAAGTATTTTAAGATAATGATAAAAATTTTAGAATAGATGATCCTTAGTGTAACCCACAAACCCAAACTCTACTCACCCTAATGCAACAATGAAAAATAAAAATAAAAAATCTTAGCAGCCTTACAATCCCACCCCATACCATGCCAACGTAATCTCATATACCTCTTACAAAATGAAAACAAACCCAGACAGACTTCATAATATCGAAAAACTAGCAAAAAGGGAAAAAAATCACCTGCAAAATGTGTGTCCAAGAGAGAGAGTAAAGTGTAATGCGGAGTTCGATTTGAGCACAAGCGACGAACCTGTAACGTTGCAGGGGTAGAAAGACAAAGTAGCTTTAGAGAGCAAGAGTAATGAGACTCGGAGAAGGGTTTTCAATCGATACTAGAATTTTCGAATGATGATATTCAAAGGATAGTTTTTAATCAATGAAACAAAGTGAGGGAGAGAGAAACGGTGGAATTGTTTCATATTTCCTCACTTATATGGAAGGACATTTCAATCAATTCATGATATATTTTTAATTAAATAATTTTTAGAATCATTATTTTACTCCGTAAACTTCACACAAAATAAACTCAATTTTTCACCAAAAATCTCTTAAAAAATCACTCTAGAAAATCAGTTCACCAGATCATTCTAAAGGATCTTGGGCCACAAAAACGGGGCCCTTCATTATCTTCCCATGTATTTGCATCCATCCATGCTGTCTAGATAAGAACCTGGACAGTCAAAAGAACACGTGTCTGGTATCAACAAATTACACGTAAGCCACACTTTGATCACCCAATCACCAACCTCTCTCGTATATAATCCCTCTCTCTCCTCACTGTTTTGACTCGGAGAAACCAGGTCGATCAATCGCGAATAACTCGCTCCGCTCCTCCCAAAAATGGCCTCCGTGAACAGCGTCACACTCCATGGAGTCCTCTCTCTCTCCACACCCAAAACCAAACCCACCGTAAAGGGTCTCTCCGGGTCTTCTCTCCGCAGCTTCAGACCTTCCCTCACCCAGATTTTCTCCAGAACCAAACAGAGGGAATGGGTCGTGGTTGGGTCGGTGTCAAAGGAGCTCGATGTAATCCCAGTTCAGAGCAGTGACTCTACGGACCAACAGGACGGAGTTGTGAACAGAACAGAAAGGGAAATTGAAGGAGAAGAGATCGTGAATCAGGTGGTGGTTGGTGGGTTCGGGAAAGAAGGAAGGTTGTCGTTTGAAGGGGCTGGTGAAATTCAAGGGTTTTCTTCGTCGGCGAGTTCTTCAGTTGGAATTGAGGGTAAGAGTAAGGAGGAGGAATTTAAGCATTTGATTGATAGAGCCATTAATGCAGCTATTGTTCTCGCTGCTGGCACTTTTGCCATCAATAAGTTGCTCACCATCGACCAAGACTATTGGCATGTGAGTATTGGCATTGAGTTTTTACTGAGTTGTGTTTGTTATTTGAAATTCTGTATCTCTTCACTTTGTTTTTTATTTTGTTTTTCTTGGGCTTTTGTTGATGCACTGTTATGAAAGTCCCCTTCTTGTTTTTTTTTCTTCTTGATTTTCTTTTGTTTTCTATTTCTATAGTTGTATTTACGATCTCTATGTTGCTATATGATATTTAATATCAAATTCACAAACATGAGTATGTGTATAGCTAGGAGATTGCCGAGGCTTGTAGTTAGTTTTCTTTTCAAGGACTGTACTTTATTGTGTATAATATTAGTTGGTTTCTTCTCTTGGCAACCAGGAGAGAGAGAATATAAAGGATTAGGTAGGAGAGAATAATTAAAAAAAATAAAGGATAGTGGTTTTTCACCTTAGCGTTTGGAAAGATTAGGGGAAAAAAAAATGAAAAAAAGTAAATGTGGGTTATGCTCATTTGAATGCGGTTAAGGATGTAAGAAATGGCCTACAAACTTCTGGTTTGAAGTTGGGGAGTTTCCTTAATCACATTAACTACTTAAAATGAGCTCACTTGGATTACATTAAAATGTGAAAAGATATATCTAGAATTCAAATAGAGTAGTTCCTCAAACATTTTAATATTTGGTGATGTGTTGCTTCTCGGTGACTTGTTTACATTGTGGTGAGCATATATTTTCAAAAAAATCAAATAAAAAGGTAAGTTCAAAGAAAACGAAAGATAAGTTCAATTATATATGCACCAGTTAGGTATGCTCACAAATACATGCATCTATGCCCTTGTGTTTAAATATTTGCGAATTTCCTTCTCTAACACAACGTGTTGTATGTATGTGTTTAAGTTTATTTTTAAATGTGTTTCTGGACTCTAGTAACTATCTAGGAGCTTTGTAACAGTTATTAACGCATCTTATGTGCACAAACTCATTTATATTTGTCTTAGGGATGGACCATATATGAGATATTGAGATTTGCACCTCAACACAACTGGATCGCATACGAGGAAGCCCTGAAAACAAACCCTGTTTTAGCAAAAATGGTGATTAGTGGAGTGGTTTACTCTGTAGGGGATTGGATTGCACAGGTTAGTTGGTGATTTTGAAGTCACCATGAGCTGCAAGATTCGTTGGTTCTAAATCTTTAATAGCCATTGACTCAATTTGTGTCCAATAAATTTGCAGTGCTATGAAGGAAAACCTCTTTTTGAATTTGACCGAGCGCGCATGTTCAGATCAGGCCTTGTCGGCTTTACTCTGCATGGATCCCTTTCTCATTATTATTACCAGTTTTGTGAGGTAATTATGATGCCATGATTTATTTACCATTGGACTGTTCTGACTTGTAATTTGATATATAGTTGTGGATTACGAAAATAACAATTCCTGATTTTCAGGGACTTTTTCCTTTTCAAGATTGGTGGGTGGTTCCTGCTAAAGTAGTCTTTGATCAAACTCTCTGGTCTGCTACTTGGAACAGCATCTACTATATAGTTTTAGGATTCTTGCGCTTTGAATCGCCAGTCAGTATTTTTAAGGAATTGAAGTCAACATTCTTGCCTATGTTGACTGTAAGAAGACCTTCTCTTTCTATGTATCTTTCTTTTCAATTACCAGTTATTCTCTAGTTAAAGCCTGCTTTTTTTGGACTTCATTTCAGTGGATTTTGATACTCTTTTAGCACTCCAAATTTTATTGAACCTCATACTCGGAACTGCATTTTGTTTGAAAAACATTAGTTGCTTTAGTGGCGAGTATATTTTGTATTGCGTGTTACCTGTGCCACTGTATAATGTGTTTGATTATGTTGTATTTTAACCTGATATCTAATCCATGGTTCTAAATTGAGATTTTGAAACTTGCTTAGCTGCATAAAAGTTTGTTTGAACCAACTCTTATTTGGAATGGATAGAAGGTTTTAAAGGAGTTATTGTGTTCTACAGAGACCTTGAATCTTGCCCAAAGGAAAAGTATTGCCACTTGTCCTATCTTAGTCAATTACTTTCACATATGGGGTTAAAAAACAACAGTTTTTATTACCTATATGAACCACACTGCTTAATTTGAAGTCAAGCTATTATTATCTTCTTGGAGTTGATTCAGCTTTAGGGACTAATGTGAATTTTGGGTAATTGTGACAAAGATAAAGAGACATTTATATGTTCAAATGCATGTAATGTAACGAATGCTTAGATGGGTTTACGGTTTTCATTTTTCGTATGAAAATTTAAAGGTTGTTTTGAATTGTTATACATCTAACAATGTTATTGAATTGGGGATTCTTCTCAGGCAGGGTGGAAACTTTGGCCATTTGCTCATCTGATTACCTATGGCGTCATCCCTGTGGAACAGAGGCTTCTTTGGGTTGACTGTGTAGAGCTCATTTGGGTGACAATACTGTCAACGTAAGTACAAATCTGGATCGTGATTACTACAGTTCTCTTTCAAAGAAATCATATATACTCGGTTGCATTGATAGTCCTCGATTATCTGATCTTACAATTGATACTGCTTAGAAATAAAATTGATGAATGCTTGATTTCTAGCTCGTGAAGTTTGTATAAACTCATTCTGATAGAATTCTGGTGAGCCTAATTAGTTGCGAGAAACTGAAATGGGTTCATTATTCTCCTAGTCTATGAGGGTTATATTGGCATGCAATTTTCTAAGTTGTCGTAGTAAGCTAATTTTTAGCCCGAGAAATCTTTTTGAGGACCACTTGAACCATTTTTGGTTTAACATCTGATTGATTTCTAACATTGGTTGACATTCTCATCTGCTAGTTACTCAAACGAGAAATCAGAACAAAGAATATCCGACATACCAGCAGAGGCAAATTCTGATTCCCCATCAATAAGTCCTCCTGAGGTAAGCCAAGCAACTAAATTACAGTGCATATAGGTACTGAGAGCTGCACTATAGATTCTCATCTTCTTCTGTGTCTCTTCTGGTTTTTTGGGTTTCTCTTGTTAGGAGTAAACTAGAAGTTGGAAGAAAATTTTGAAGAGGAGTCAGTCTATTTATGTCCAAATGCTGAAAGATAAGATCATTCGTCATCATGGACCTTGGCTTGCAACAGGGGTTGCTGTGGGGTGATGGCTAGAGAGGCTGGTCGTAGCTATACTCGCATCCCTGTGGATTCGCACCTGTATCTTATGTAAACCTACCTTCCTTTTTTCTCTGTATGATTTTTTTAGGTAAAATGTTACTAGTTTCAGACTCTTATACTAAGAAATGTAAAGATGATAATTTCCGTTCCGTCATAGAAAATGTATAGTTATTATCTTTCTTTTGTCTTTTTGACCCATGATATGATTGATTTTCCTTGATAAAATCTCAAATATGCCACCGAGTAAAACTTTTTTTTTTTTTTTTTTACAGATTTCATTGCATAACTGGCTTGGCAAAATGAAAAGAACTAAATCATAACTGTATAGATTAAGTGAATTCACTCATCAATCATCATCAAAAAGGAAAATTCTGCAAATTTGCAATCACTCACGTTCGCATTGTGTAAGACAAAACTCAAATGGATATGCAGTCTAAGCCATGGACATATTACAGAGCCGGCTCGGTGTCGGCCGGAAATCCCACCACCGACGGCTGCGCCTATGAACTGGCGGTGTCAAAGCCCTCTTCAGAATCTCTTTATCCGCGCATTGCCTTCTAAAATTACTTCTTGGTACCGGAAACTCAGGACGGCCACTTCTGACTGACCTAGAACTGTATAATGATGAGCGTGTGCAAATCCGCTGCTGAGGCCTAGGAGATGATGACGCCACGCAATTGCTCCGGAAACCCTGACTGGCGGCTGTCCTGTGTCTGGTGGTGGTCGATGGTGGTCTTGCCGGAACTTGAAGCCTCTCTAAGGTATGTTTCTCTGGATTGCTGTTCATTTTCTGAATCATCTTGGTATGAAATGATGGAATGGTCACTCTGATGAGTTGTTTCTGCTTAACAATTAGGTATGTGTATGTGTATGTGTATTGCATATATTTATTAATCCATGTTTGCGTGTGTGAGGATGTATGTTTGTGTGTGGTGGAAGACTGGTTCTATAGTCAGAATTCAGCAAGGTTTGGCTTGAAAGAGTAGTTGACCTGACCAAAGTGTGTATGACTTGGTGAATATTGGCTGTTAAATTTTGACTTGCCCACAACTTTGTCAAATTTAATGACCGGTCATCTAGAGGAGAGTTGTTGCCAGCCAAGTATTAAACATCTAGATGGAAAATACTGTATACCATAATCAACAATTCTTATAAAAAATTTTTATTAATTAATATATTATACAATAATATTAAAATTTTAGAATCTAATACAAGATTATTCACTTCAATGTTGTTATAAGTGTTATGTTAGTAAGGGTCGGTTGAGATTTGTTTTTATAGTGGGCTTTTATATAAAAAAAAATATATATGGGATTCTTCTCAGGCAGGGTGGAAACTTTGGCCATTTGCTCATCTGATTACCTATGGCGTCATCCCTGTGGAACAGAGGCTTCTTTGGGTTGACTGTGTAGAGCTCATTTGTTTTTTTAAATTCTTCTATACTAGACAAACTGCAAAAGTAAAAAATTGACACATTTGAAAAAAAAAAAAAAAAAAACTAAAAAAAATGGAAAAAAAATGTGAATTTTTTTAACTAGATGCCAAACAAATTCTAAGTAATCAAAATTTATAAAATTTAGGGTAAATTATAAATACACCTCCTGAGGTTTACTTAAAATATGAATTGCTCTCTGCGGTTTGGAAAATTCGAAATACTCCTTATCAGAATTTATTATTTAACAGAATTAATGGAAAAAGTAAAATTTCTAACTGTTCACCTATACAATAATAAAATAATCTGAATTATTAATTGAAATAAAATTTTAATATTATTAAAAACTGCTAATTAACTTGATAATTTATTAATAAAACGACCTATTTGTTATAAAATTAGTAACTTTAGGGGGCATAATGTAATTTTTAAAATCACATAGGGTAATTTGTAATTTAAATAAATTATAATTTATCCTCAAATTTATTAATTTATATAGCATTATTTTTGTATATCCACCCCCTATATATCAAACTTCTTGGTAAGTTTGCACTTGATATTTTATTTTTTATTTTGATTATAAACGGATCATAGACACACAAAAGACAAGAAAATAAAAAAACACAAGGTTTTTTTTTTAGAAAAAGAATTGAGATTGCGTTATTCAAAAAATAAAAACAAAAATACAACAATAATGGTCCCAATTATTAAATTTCATTTTTTAATTCATTCTCTTTATATCATAAGTAGAGTAGGGTTGGAAAGACTATTTTCAATGATTGTTTGGATCGTGCGCCAATCATTTTTGAAAATTGGATTGTGCGGGCAGGGCGGAGTCGGCCCAGTTGATCCAATGGGCTTTGAAAATTGTATCTCATGTTTGAGAGTCGGCCCATTTTAAATCACTTAGTAGATTGTGGGCTGAATGGTACTAAGTCCAATGTTGATCAATTATTTGAAATGAAAAATCAAACTCTCTATGATGATTTTTATCATCAACTTGTAAATAATTCCCCTATGTAATCATGTTTGATAAGGTCTCCATGCCATCATTTTATATATGTTTGTTTTTATATTATAATTTACAAGTGTGTATGTGTATTTATGTATCTTCCCATACATACACGTATTGATATTTATATGCATAAAATTGATTAAGAAGCTTCTGTAGGCTTTTTAAAAAGTTTTCTCCACAAGGTAAAGGATAGTATTGTTACCACTCTTAATCTTGTCGACTTCTATAACAAAATTAAGCACTAATTAATTAGTGCTACCAAATATATATTTGTACTCTTTCCTCCCAAAGATATTTAATTGAAGATATTAAAATTCTTGTGATTTTATGATAATGATATTTTTTTTCATTATTTTAATAATGAATGGTTCGAGAGTCCTATTCCATGTTCTTAGGGCATTACCTTTACTGTGTTTAGAAATGACAAAGCCAAATGAAATTTATCCCAAATATAAAGGCTTACATGATCATGTAACTCAAGACACTGTAAACAACACATGAGCACAATTTCTATGGTTTTAAGATAATAATTCCTTTTGATAATAGTGAATTTGCTCAAGAGTCAAGAATTGCCCCTAATGTTTTTATAAATTAAACAGATCACATGAGACCTTTCTCTAATTATAAGAGCCCACATCAACTTTAAAAAATACTAGAAAAGCTAGATACAACGAAAATATTGTCTCGAAAATTATCGTTTGTTTTTTGAAAGTGAGACAGATTCCACTCAATTTATATTTTAGTGACTATTTTCATGATCTTATTTTCATGATACATAAAAAAAAGTTGTAAAAAGACAAATAATACCCATAAATACACAATCAATTTTCAGAAAGGACATTTGTGAGTTAGGTCATGGAATTTACATACCCATGAAATGTCTTATCAGATGGTGAAAGAAAATGACACCCACACCCAAATGTCTTCAACTTCAACTTTTGTGATAAACCAAAGATAATTTGGAGTTAAAAAATCAAGGTGTGAATGAAGAAACAGTGGCTAATTTCTTTTTCCATGGTCAATTTATCTTTAACTATAGATAAACGGAAAACGTAAACAATTGCAAAAGCGACTATTTACGCATCTTCAAAGACAAAGATGTATCATCTTAAAGCTTTTTGGTGATTGATATACCTTCCAAAACAATTTTTTCGAGGTTGCTTTCAAACCCTACAGCTTAATGGCTAAGTTTATCCTTGTTCATTGTTTATGACCCATCTGGAGATACAGTTGGGGAAAAAAAAAAAAAAAAAAAATTGTTTATGACCCATCTAGAGATACAGTTGGGAAAAAAAAAAAAAATTCGGAGTTTTGCTTGACAATATGAAGATTCACACAACACTAAGTACAAACAAAACCATACACAATCTCTCTTTGTTAAAATGTGCAGCAATAAAAATAAAATAGTATAATTTTTTTTTTATTTTTTTATTTTTCTACATCAACACTACCTTATACAATATGAATGTACTTTCTATATAAAACTGTCCTTGTAGATACATATGATGGCCTCACCTAAAGTTGAAGAGCTAGTTAGTAATTACACATTTCCATAAACTATAGGCTATCTAAAATGTGTTCATGCGTTCCCTAGCTACCAACACATATCAATTCCATCAATCTAAGGACTGTATTCATGAACATAATGCAATACATAAACAGATTTCTTAAGAAATTTTCATATCACTAGAAATAAGAATTCCGCAAAAAATCTGTTTATATATAACATTTTCCAATACTCATTAGATAATTAATGTGTATTATCATACCCACCTCCCGATTAACCGATCTAATTAATTAGAGTACCAATTCAAGCCGTGGAGTTGATACTGTTGTCGAAAGCCCCCATCTGCAATAGACCCCAACAACGGTGATTGTGGAAGCTGACTGAGCATAGTGGCAATAGCATTCATGTTTTCATGTGTCTTTATTGTGCCTTCATCGCTAGCGAACCTCTTGGACGAGTCAGAGCCAGTTTCACTATCTTGGTTCCAGTACAGCGAAGTGAGTGTGCGTTTAGACATTGGAAGCGGTGGATTTGAGCTTGAAGTGGGCAACTGAGAGATGTATTCACTGTTGTTGTTGATGTTGATACCACCATTGCCCACTATCCCTTCAAACATGTTATGCTCATTTTCAAGCAATGCGCCATATGCTTTTATAGCTTGCTGTTTTGGGTTCTGTTGGCTTACCGGCGTTGAAGCTGGCATTGTTGCATACGTATCGCCCATGGAATCATACCTTTCATGATCCACTGGTCTCAGTGGGCTGTTCTTCTTGTAGATTCGACATAACACCCAATCGTCAAGCTAACCAAAAAAAATTAATTTTTTTTAAAAAATTAGTCATCCTTAAAAAGCTCATGCCTAAATAAAGAGTAATTGTTTTATTGATTGTCTAACTGAGTTGGTGGGGATAAGTTTGTACACGATTATTAACACCTACTTCCTTTGGTATTAATTATTCTATTTTTTTGTGGGTTTAATTCACTATATTATCAAATCGGACATCATTTGTGAGTCTCACTTACTTAACAATTCAATCCCATACTCCATGAGAATCAAACATGTCTCTAGAATATCAAATCAACATGTTGATGTGGTATTTTTAAACTAATAAAAATATTAGTAATAGGATGAACTGAGACAACTTGATCCACTTTAATAATCAGTTGAGTAAGAGATAAGGTCGACCTCATTCATCTTTTATACAATCTCATTAATCAGAAATACATGCACATTTCACAATAATATTCTAAGAGTATTGAACAATTTTCCCCAATAACATGCATATTTTCTCCTAATTTAATCAAAATTGTGAAAGTTGTGAAAATTAATTAATTACCCTTAGGGAGGCTTTCTTGTGGGTCGGGTCACAACCCGGTGGCTTGGAAATGGATTTGTTGTCTGATAGGCGATACTCGTGCATGATCCAATTGGTTTTGACACCTTTAGGAGGCTTTCCACCGTAGAAAACAAGTGCTTTCTTGACACCAATCTTCTGACTCCCACTGGAGCCGGAGCTGAGCACAGGCTTGTCGGTTCCGGTTGCTTTCCAATACCCAGAAGTTGCCGCCCGGTTTGGCCTCACTCCGTTCGGGTACTTCCTCTCCCGAGGAGTGAAAAAATACCACTCTTGTTCCCCAAACACAGCCTTAGCTGAAAAAAAAAATTACATATCTATATAGTCATACCAACCCAATTTATATAGAATAAGAAAAAAAAATTACGTAGTTTTTATATATAAAATTGTGATGAATGCTTTATGTTTTATAATTAATATATTTATTAGTATTTCTAGTATGGTAGTGAAACAAGAAATTGATTTGACGATATAAATCGTGGGAAAAAATTTTACTACGAATTTTAAGTGTATACAATTTGATTATAACATCCGACTCAATTTTCTCACCAAAAATAAAATTCACATATTTAATGAATATGTGATTGAATTTAGTGCATGTGCATGTACATGTACAACAGTTGTTATTTCTGTCATGAAAATATTAACCATATATTGAATTTGAGGTACGGTTTAAAGACACCCTTATCAAACTGCACCTCAAACTCATATAATATAGGGAAATTCTGTGTATGTATGTATGAATGATACCTGGGAGCTCCCATGGATCAAATTTGTAAAGATCAATTTCAGCTATGATTGACACGGGAAGAAGAGCGGAGGCGGCTTTCTTCTTGAGGTAGTGAACCACCAGCTCTTCGTCGGTTGGGTGGAACCGGAAGCCCGGTGGGAGTTGCGGCTGCGAGGCCGACGAATCGGTGCTGTCCATGGATTCGGATAACTAATTAATTGAGAGAGTTGATGATCAAATTTGAAATATGCTGTGTTGAAAGTTTATGGAGTCTGAAAATTTTGATGACAAAAGAGCAATGTTACAGTTCATGAATATAGGTGAAAAAGTCATCTTTTAATATGGTTGTTGATGGTTATGTGGGAGGGACTATGAGATTATCGTAGAGTCATGTGATAGACCACCAATTTATTCACTACAATCTAATTTGTGTATGACTCTTGGTGTGTCCAATCCAATTCATTCCACATTAAAGCATGCGAGGGCTGATTAGTCATTTGCATTTGACCATAGTACTACGATTGAGCATGTGGATATTTTACAAAATGCATATACAGGCTTTCTTTGTAAGGAAGGACTAACCACCACCGTCTAATGACTCTTGGTTAAGATTGATATATATTTATGGTGTATTAAAATATATAAAAATATATGTAATATGTATTAAAATTCTAATTTTTTATGTTATTATTTGAACCCTAATTAACGCATATTGACAGGTGATTTGTAAAATTCTTCTTTTTAAAAGAAAAAATAAAATATTTCTTACAAAATAAATTGTAAATTACTAATATGTTCCGTAAAATAATTGTGAAAATAAAACAACCGCCTCCAATTTTTAAAAGTAGGGCCATGTAATCTTGAGGATTGTTTTGAGTGGTTAGTGAGTGTACTCTTTACACAATTGTTTATGGCTTGATTTTTAAACTTAGGCAGCGAGAAAATATGGATGACCTGTCTTCTATCAGAGAGGAAAAAAAAGAATATATATATATATATATATATATATTTTTGAGTAATAGAAGGATAGTATAAAGCTTAAACAGAGTCAAATAGAAGTTTGGGATACAAAGCCCTTAAAGCATCGTTATATCATTTTCCTATAATAAAAGAATAATGTTATATGTATTAATTAATGTACATACTAGTGTACCAATTAGTGATGTGGCATAATTTTAAAGGTTTGGGTATTTATAATTTGTATAATAAATAGGGTCATTAATGATATCATAACACTAGTGAGTACACTAATATGTATACTAATTGATGTATGTAAAACCACCGATAATAAAATTGGACAAAATAAAATAAATGAAAAGGCCTTCATTCATTGAGCTGCGCTCCTTAGGCAATAAATCGGCACACTCATTTGCTTCCCAAAAAATGTGTTGCACTTCCGTTACCCCTAATTGTTTCATGAGGCACAAAAGAAATTAAACAAGTGTGCATAGGTTGATTCAACACCCTTGTTGAAAAAGAATAAAAAAAAAAAGGTGGGCCCATGTGATAGTTGGTGGTCGTTGAAAGGAAAGTAGATGAAGGGCGACTTCAGGTGATTAGCGCCTGCAGATGACGTTTACCAGCCCTGTTTGGCATGTGGGTTTTCGGCATTTTTTTATTAAAATCCATAAAAAAAGAAAAAGACGAAAATAATTAATAAAATAAAATATCACATTAAATTTATCATCATTTTATTTTTTTCTTACAAATATTCCATCTAATTACAAAAAAATTCAATTATCTTCTTAAGTACAAAAATTTTAACTTACTAAGCCTTCGTTTGGCATTGACTTTTTTAGTTGGCTTTTTGACTTTTTTATCCTGGGACTTTTTTATTCGTTTGGTATTCTTAATTGGTTTTTTTTGGCTTTTTAACTTTGGAATAATGATTTTTTTGTCTTTTTGTGTTTTTTTGACTTTTTTTTTTAATCTTTTTGTAATTATTTAGCCAAACATGATAACCAAACACCATCCAAAATAATCAAAAATTAAAATAACTTAATAAAATGACAATTTCTCAAACACCCAACAACTGATACTTGCGCCGCTCATTGGTCGAAACGTGTTATTCCTAATTTCTTCAAATGGTGACACGTGTTGGACAAATATGTGTGGGCCATATTGCAAGACCACATCATACACCCAGTCCACCAAAAAAAAAAACAAAAAGCAAAAATTGATATAGACGCAGATAAGTCTCTTGTTGGGGTCGGTCGGAAACAAAAACGTTTTTACCTTCAGATGTCACGCTTTTGTTATGATAATGCCCTACAAAACTACTACAATATAAACATGAAAAAAAATAAATCAAAACAAACAGTGACCCTTGTCCACACCACCAATCAGCCCCAACCTTCGATAGGGGGCAAAGGTTGAACCCTTTTCATCATCATCACTCTCCTAACCCCTTGCTATGACCGAAGGTTTTGATGTAGTGTAAAAAAAATTAGATTTAATTTTGTTTTATTAAAGATTGGATGATTATGAATAGGGTGAGGACTATTCTTGTCGGTTAATTGTTATATTGATCGATCAATCAGTTCTCTAACGTGGTAAGAAATGAGATTAATGTCTTATAAAATAGAATCCAGGTCATCTTCATATTTGCATCTCTTTAAATTCATCCAAAATTTTTTTGTGAGCACAAATCTAGACTCATATTGATGATCCAAACCGTCTACTTTATAAGTTTTCATAATTAATTTCATCAGAGATCTATAAATATAAGAACAAATCACATTTTATTTTATAAAATGAATAGCAAATAGAATTGTAAACTTAAACCATTCACTTTGTAAAACAAAACGTGATTTGTTTGTGTTTATAATTGTCCGATGAATCTAATTTTCTGTATGTATAATCTTCACTGTGAAATCTATGAAGTAGATGGTTGAATCATCAAAATAAGTCTAAATTGAAGGTCACAAAAAAGGTATGGAGAGATAAAGAGTAATGCTACGAATCATGAAAAAAATATCATCAAAGATTCTCTACCTTTAGATTACACCAAGAATAAAACACCATACACTAATAAAGGGATGAAAAATCTTCATGATGTATTTCATGATATGATTCTTAGTATTATTCAGAGATGAAACATAAAAGGAGAGCTTATCCCTATAAAATAGGAGATTTCGACTTTTGTGTGAGACTCCCCAACTCTTAAGTATTATGGTCAAGAAATACAATAAATTTGAGAAAAAATGTCACAATGGTATGCGTGTAGGTGAAAAAAAAAGTTTATTCTGTACTTATTTCATGATTCTCAATTATAACTCTTAAGTCTTTAATCTCATAATTAATTGCTGATATCCAACTTTTATTGCACTTCTCAAATTGTCAATTCACTTCTCAATTCATCAGACTGGCCATGGTTTAGGTGGGGGAGGCTTGGGTCTTATTATGCAAAACACTCATTAATTCCAAAAACATCAACGCAATTTACATTACAATTTTGAAAGTGATAACTGATAAGATCATATGGCTTGGAAATCTATTAGTATAGGTATGCATTGGGTTCTATTGTCTTCCATGATCAAGACAAGAAGTCTTAATAGAAAAAAAAAAAAGTTATTGAAAAATCTTCCAAAGAAAAAGAAAGAAAGAATTACCATTCTTGTGGCCTTGGCCGTGGGAACCGTTTGGTGTGGCCATGGGATCCTGATTCAATTTCAAGGGGCCAAAAGTTTGATGGGAAACTACACTAGGGGTGGGGTGGGGTCCATTGCTGGTTTGATGATGGACCAGGAGGTCCCAATACCATTATTATGGTTCAGCTCATGTTGATTATTAACCACAACAAACTCCCATTATTAATATGGAGAACACACGTGTGATGTAACACATTTTAATTATATTTTGAACAAATAATAAGATATTTAGATTGTTTCTGGATTTAAGATTTAGGTAAAAAAATTAAAAAGGAAGATAAAAAAAAAATTATATATACTTCCTCCGTCCCCAAATAATTGTTCTTTCTGAGAAATCTAACTTTTTTGATAGTATAATTATTGTATTTTAAAAATATTAATTTTTTAAAATTACCCTTTGATAGTATATTTTTTTGAGAATATCAATTGTTATAATTATACTTTTTATGTTATTAATGAATTTAAAAGGACAAAATAATAAATTTATATTATTTTATTCCTTGATCTTTGAAAAATGATTAATATTTTAAAACAATAAAAAATGAAATAAGAAACTAACATTTTGGGACGGAAAAAGTACATTTTTATATAAATTCTTATCCAAATTCTAAATCCAAACACAGCCTTAGGCTGTCTTTTAGATTTTGAATTTTGAAAGAAAAAGAATAGGAAAAGGAGTTGTGAACACATTTTTTTTTTATTTCTTTTTCTTCTATAAATTTTATTCCAAAATTCAAGTTCCAGACATAATTTCGATGCTTTTCTTTTTTTTTGGATCGCCAAAAGGAAAAATTTTATTGATAAAAAACATACATTACATATGAATATATATCAATAAATAAGAGGTAAGAGTAAAAAGTATCATAATGCATTTTTCTAATCCCAACTAAATTAGTACCAAGAGATGCACACAGCCATATGTTATTTCCAGCCAAGGTTGTTGGTATGAAACCAACAAAACAAAAGAAACAAAAATAAAAAGACAAACAAACATCTCAACAAACAACATAAAATCCTAGACAACACTACACATATCAAAACATCAGGCAGGGACAACTACAACGCAACAGTAGCACACCTTTATATGCTCTGCCTGACCTGCTCCAATCAAAAAATAAAGTTTTTTTTTTTGATAACTCAGGATATCCGAGCCAGCTTGCGCGCACCTCGACTAATCCCTGAGGGACTAATCCTACCGTCCAGTAGCGGAGGGCTCATTTAAAGCCAGAGCAAAGCTCCATATGGACTGGCCCAACACAAGAATTAATAGCACCTAAGAAATTTTGAACCTGAGACTTAGAGATGAGCAAACTCTTAAGTCTCAAGCCTACACCAACCCTTGGGATTCAAAAAATAAAGTTATTGACATAGTAGACTTTGCTAATTGCATGAATCCTCAACCATAATGCCACTCGAGCTTTAATAAGCTCCTACAGATCATTTGAATTTGGTTGAACACTGAAAAAAATACACCTTTTTGAATCTTGAATGGAAGCCACATCCACTTTGCTGACCAAAATAAATCCTTTAATCATTGCCTTTTCTCAG